AAATGGCTGCAGAATCAAGCGGCAGAATCTCGGACTGAATTTCAATACAAATACCGCAGCTTTCAGTTAAAGGAGGTTTAAATCTTGCGGCAAGGAACAACTCCATGTTTAACAAAGGGCCAAACTTTGTTAGTCTGACATTGTTTACCAAACTATTATAAATTCAGCTGAAGTCGGCTTATGAATGCATAATATAAATGCAAAATATGCGTCAGTACGCTTTTGTCATTATTATACAAGTGTAGCTACGGAACGTAGATACGTAAAGTCTGCTTCAAAATGATATAAAGGTGCTGCCATATTAAAGCCAGCGTCTGATTTTAGTTACAATAAACAAAACACCCAAATATTCGGAAACAATATTTTATCTTTAGGAGACAAATCCTAAACGTTATAAATGTTTCATTACGTGATTGATAAATTTCAATAAATAAATATCAGGACCTATATATCGTGTTTTAGAACAATAGAATGAGCGTTCAGTGCTTATAAATATAAATATTCACAAGTTGGGTCAATCAATAGTCACATTTCAGACCATGATCCAAAAAGTGAATATGCTTGGCCCAACTTGTGAATATTTATATTTATAAGCACTGAACGCTCATTCTATTGTTACGGAAAATATTCGCGGTAGTGTGGCTGTAACGTTAGCAACTGCTTACAAACGTTACGAGGAAATACATAGTACGGTAGTAAAATAAATGCTTGGCCAAGCTGTTACAAACGGCCGCCAACACTAGTGTGTGAGGCACCTTATCAGGAGCATACATTATACACACTGGTGCGGCCTACACACGCACAATTGCAGCGCCCCTGGAAATTTAATGCGATGCGTAGTCCAATTTCTCAAAAGATTTATAGCTCGAATTGTGACTAGTTCCGTTCTGTGATACCTTTACGCTGGTATCGGTAGGTACTCTCGCAACTGGGAAATTACAAAGAATCATTTTTTGATCTACGCTTTTTAATATCTTTATTTTAGGGAATCATTAATCACGCGGCGGATGAGTCATGTCGCTTAAATGATTTATCACGGAGAATAACAAAAATGTCCAACGCTAAAAGGAAAAAGATTTCAAAGTATAGACAACTATTTTCGAAATTAAAGATTTACCTTTTGATTGATGAAGGGATTTGATGGCGTTATATATAACTCCTTAATAAAATTCATTGAAAAAGTGAAAAATTACGTCCTTGCGAAACACGCTCCGTAATGCATTTCGGGTTCTTTTCAATATTCATTATACTTCACATTGTATTTCTAGATAGATTTCGATAGTTATAATCACCGATATAAACTCAGAGCTGAGTCCTATTCACACTACTTTGATCGGTTAATTTTGATTGTTCAGACATTTTCCTTGTAATGCAAAGCGGTTGGAACCCCCAAAGCGATATCCATTGATATCTTTGACTAGGTATCTTCCTAACGGACGTGACAGCAATTTTAAAACATGCTTCTGAGATACAAAGCGAACTTCCACGATTGCACACTTAAACACTACCTTTATAGAAATAGCTTTGGCTTCGAAAAAGGTTACCCTTTTTCTACTCCCGCACTTGCGCGGTGAAGCTTTGGTGCTAAAATGCGCCTAAATTAGCGTTCGAGAATTTTGTTCTATTGTAAAAAAATATTGAACTACGTGTCTCAGACACTAGACAATAGCTTGACTGGCGATTTTTGACGCGCAAAAAAGAGGTACCAAGGTTCATCACGCAGGTGTGGGATAAGCATTACACAAATATTTTAGTTCTTATCTCCACGTACTAAAGGTGCTGTCAATGTCAAATTCGGTCTATAACAGGACTTACCTATTGTGGCTTGGACTAAACTTCGCTTTACGTGCAATTAATTTTTAAAATACAACTAGAGATCCGCCCCGGCTTTGCACGGTTGAACTTTATTTTAACTTGATACAATATAACCTATGTTCTTAGGGATAATGTAGAATTCTAATGGTGAAAGAATGCTTGAAATCCAGTGGGTTTTGAATTTATTCGTTACAGACATACAAGAATACAAATCTATTCTCTTTATAATATGATTATACTAAATAATAAATGAGCCTGATTTTGAAACTTTTCAATAAATTATATCAATCGAATCACTTAAAATTTTCTATCATTAATAATAAGAATCAATCAATTAGGATCATAATAAAATATAAAACTGATAATAATTTTAAAACAGTGCAAAACTACATCTGAATATTAACACTTTTGTTGAAATTCAAAATAACGAAAACTTCTTCGCAAGTATGGTGGGTAACAGTTTATTGTTCAACCGGATTAAAGCACTCGCTTGGAAAAGCAATATTATGCCGTAATGTTGTATTGCTGCAGTGAGTAAGTTTGGCAGAACTCCATAGAATTTAGGATGGAATAGGGGAATGAAGTCAGTACAAAGCAAGATAGATACCTCCGGTATCACAAAGATGACAACTTACCATCAGGAGGACATAATTTTCACCCGTTTAGACATAAGAAATGTCCCAGAGAGTCTTAATACTTATCAGGTCAAATATCGCATATCAAAACACAGGGACTACATTATACGGAAGAGAAAAAGCGAACAGTGAAAATGGTAATAACTCAGTTCGTATCGCGCCGTGTCGCTCGCTCAGTCGCTCCTCGTCGACAACGAAGAATAATTGCGAATTGTACTCACAAATACGAAACCCCTTTATCGCTTTGATACAAACCTCTTTGTTTTATCGTTCTCGAGTTTATTACTTTAGACTCCGCGAAATCTCGTCACTAACAAGCGGCCTATCGAAAACCTCCTCTATTATGAATCGCGAGCAGAATCGGATGGCTGTATTAAAATTCATTTCGGAGAAATGAATGCGTAAGTGAATACTGGAATATTCCTTCCAACATTTTATTATGTTCGCCTTTCAAATATGGTAATCGCAGACTTCCATATTGCTCTGCAAGTTACGTTTTGTGAAGCGATTTAACTCAGTATTTCGATTGCAAGTCAACTTATTAATATACACCAACGCTATTACGATTAGTTGTTGGAGTAACTACTCGTGTTCAGGCACACGATGTGTACTGTAATATTACAGTGGTCATCGCAAACGAACGAGCTGGCTAATGAGGCTGAACGAGATTGTCCGGAAACGGTCGTATGCCCGACCCTGTTCATTTACACTCGCCCAAATCGGATACGGGTGAACGACTCAGTGTAATTGCGCTGTAAGACACAGACCTACCCTATGGACTTACATAAGGAGAATGGAGCATAACTCTAATGTCCACGCAGACAACATTGCGGGCAGAATTTAATATAGGTTACATGTATATTATTTCCTACACACCTACCCTACCGCTACAGTATTTAGAACAACTAATAAAAAACCGGCCAAGTGCGTGTCGTGCCACGCGCAGTGTAGGGTTCCGTAGTTACCTGTAGTTACCACAATATATTTGAGCAGGAGTCTTTATTTTATATACCGGGAATTAGAAAAACCAATCAATATCTATTTATGTATCTTAACTAAAATACCTTAATCAAAGTCAAACTGCGTCTCAAACTCAAAATCAATTCGATTTTTTTTTTGCCGATTTTTGTTTTTTTCTATGTCACTATTAATTTTTTCTTCTGAATTTTCAATAAGTAAGAAATTTTCTTAATTATTGAAAATTCAGAAGAAATAATTATTAAAGTTGTTTATTATATTTAGTAGTAATAATTTTCAAAGTTGAACAACTATTACTCTTAAAGTAACAAATTTATCTAAACCGTTATAGTTTTAATTAATAGTTCATGAAAAGCACAATAATCATGATTTTTTCCAGGTTTCTAAATGAAATTGTTTAGCTTTTAGAGGGACACCCTACTCGAACAAAAATTAGCACTTTAAAGTTCAAATTTTCGTAAACGTATCCCTTAATCGAAAAATAGTCTTAGAAACCCCTAAGTTATTTTAGAGGACCTATTCAACGATATCCCACGCGATGGAAAAGATGATGAAAAAAAAACATCCCCATGTTACATGTAGGGGAGGTACCATAAAAAAACTTCTATTCTACGATTTTGTCGGCGTAATCGATATACATATCTCCACAAAATTACAGCTCTATAGTGCTAATAGTCTCCAAGCTAAACTGGGGACGGATAGACGGACATGACGAACTTATAAGGGTTTCTTGTCAGGACTTACAACAGAACTTTAAAAAAGATACGAAAAATCTTCCCAATTGATTTAGCATATTTCTGATGCAGGCAACAAAAGATGCTTTGTATGTTACAAGTGCATCCAGATTCGAAGTACCTGCAAAGTTCGAAATCCCTACAACATTCATACCATTTGGCTCGACCTGTTAATAAGGCTCAGGTTGACTTCACATTATAAACAATTACAACTAACAAATCTTGGTTTCCCAATCATTCACAAGATGAATAAACGGATATACTAGTATTTGGATAACAAAAGACTATTGAAGAATACTTCGCGAATGCTACCACACCCAAACATCTTGAAAGGGTCGGGGCTCGAGTGCTCCTCAAGAACCTACATTGAATTAGGATTGGACGTCTGCAAAATAAAATAAGTTGGTGAATTTCTACAATAGTCAACTTTATCACATAAAATTTTAGTAACCTACATAGGTACTTATCTCATTATATAGTCTTACCTCATTGGTGTTAACACACCAATTATGCATAGCATCACTGCGGCTGTACTGTGAAAAAATATTTTAGTATAAGTATAGCCACCGTGAGTACAATTCTATCTCACTCCGAATTTGAATTCCGAATCCATGGTATGTACCTATGGCCTAAGATTTCTCTAATTGTCTGTCTTTGAACTTTGAGCTAAACATTAAATTTTGGACGAGCGTATCGATTATGTAGCCACTTGTGGCACAAACATTATATAAAATATAATATTTTCATTACATAGTGCTTTCAACTAAATAAATTATATAGTGAATATAATCATCGCGACATTCTTTATCTGACTGAGTAATATACATATTTTTTACAGATGGATTTGTATGCTTCTTATGTGCTTAAATCTTTTAAAAGTATCGATGTCTTTCGGTGTGCCTCCATTGCGTGACCAAAAAATGCCCTTCGCCATAGGTGAAAAAAAGAGGTCTACAAGTATTGTTACTAAGATAGAAAGTATTCCGCATCACGCGTTGATAGTTTACGGAGGCTTCTACTGTTCTGGCAGTTTGATCAAAAGTCAGATCATCTTGAGTGCCGCCAGTTGTTTTCTCAAAAGAAACAACCAGAATATTGTCGTCAAACTCGGAGCGAACACTATGACTGAGCCTGGGTAAACCCTGCATGTATCATCATCATCATCATAGCCTATTAATGTCCCCACTACTGGGGCACATGCCTTTCCTATGGATGCAAATGGTGCGGATTGGTGGTTGCTAACGACTGCAGATGCAACCGAGACCAACTGCTTAACGTGCCTTCCGAAAGCACGAAGGCGCTCGAGAAAATAAGTTTTTGGTCACCCATATCCAATCGCCGACCATTGTGAAAATACAAAAAAAATCAAAAATTATTTATTCAGTCTAGGCTGTTGCACTTGTGGTTCGTAAATCTACGGCGGGAGACCTTGTACTGAGAAGAAACTTAGCAAGGGCTGTTTTTTTCTCCCTGTTTTATTATTTACAGAGTCGCCAAATTGAAAAATGACTTCAAAGATGATTCATGAATGGTTAAATATACATTGATTGTTTACCTGCATTTTGATTGCTGTGTCATATAGGGGTTTCTTGTCAGGACTCATTATCATCATCATCCCAGCCGTACGACGCCTACTGCTGAGCGTAGGCTCCCCCAAGGATCTCCATATCGATCGGTCCTGTGCTACATGCATCCATCGGCTTGGGTGGGTGTCAGGACTACCTACCCCTAAAAAAAATTGTGTGTGTCAGCACCGACGCACGACTGTAGTTTACTCCTTAAGTTCGATAGTCTAACCAGACGCAAAAAGAGTTTATTTAACTTAAAAAAGATTGATACTGTATGAAAGGGTAAATTAGCAAATTTATGAAAATAATATAAATATATATTTATTCATTTCATATACATTTATCATAACTAATCGACGAAATATTTTACATTAAACTTTTTACAATAGTCAATTTTAGATGTGCATAATTAGGAATGTTGATAAATTATGTAATTATTATTATCGGACTATTATATTTTTTTTAAATATTAATTAAATCAACATTGTCTGCATTATTAATAACAGTGACAAGTGGTTTATGGTAACTAAAATAAGACACATGGACGTTCGTAGATACGTGGTTCACGAATCTTGAAAATACCGCATCAATGGTTGTACCATACCTCGTCGTCCCCACTGCACTATCAGAAATAATATCTAAATTCAGTTCAGATTTTAAAAAATTTATTAATGTCAATCCGTCATCTTTGTTTGTCAAAGTTGCGCGACATAGGATGCGCACCAAAAACGTGACGAGGTCATTCATCGATAGATTTTACTCCTCACAATTTTCTCATACCGGGCCCCTTATATATGCAAATCGATTCTTATGGAGTAAACTCCAAAAAATGCATACATCCCTTACCGATTTAATAATAATCAATAGCGAGTTAGCAGTATTTTAGGTGTTGTAATTGTAAGTACAATCCAAAACATAATGGCAACATAATGACAAAGCAATATGGCAAGACTTATGTCTAAATAATTGACTTTTGTTTTCAGCCAAGTTATACCAGCAATTGATTTAAAACTTCACGAGTATTTTGATCATAACACGAATTGGAATAACGACATTGCTTTATTGGTATTAAAGGTGATTTCAACGTCAAATCTAATCTCACTTATGATTTAATTATTATTTAAGCTATTTACCTTTTCTGAACACTATGAATTGGAATTTTAGAAAGTATAGACTTGTAACAAATATCTGCCTAAATAAAATAATAACAACAGGAAAAAAATCTCTATCAAAAAAATCTTTAGCTCTGGAATGGATCGTATCTTCGCAGGCATACTTTTAACTGAACCACAGAAAATTTGTCATTTTAGGTGCATGTAAAGTTTAGTGAATACACAAAGAAAATACAGCTAATAGAACCAGGGACTTCCCTCAATGCTGGAATACGAATTGAAGTGTCCGGTTGGAGTTATTCGGTAAGAAAACACCATTATAAAATTATAAAAAAAAAGTATTCATATTTAAACAAATGAATCATTCATACAGTTTGGGTTTTTATTCATCCTCTCATCATATTCTGAAAATCAATTCAATGTAAAATGTGATCTCACTCTCAGATTCCGATAGATCAAATAAATTCACTTTGTTCTTCGTTTTATATATGTCGTACGGCCATTAATCCTACGACTTACAGAATTTACGGTACGTTACAGGAAGGTTACAAAATGACGTTCTTTCTTTCTCAAGTACATCAGTTCTCGAAGATGTGGCGCCACGGGTGGATTTTAATTTACAATTTAGTACGCCATCTATCGCATGCCATGCGAACTACCAACGCGTTAACCCGACTAAAACTTTTTAAAAGCATCGAGTTCCTACCAAGCGTGCTAGTGCCTTTCTGCTGATACGTAATTGCAGAACTTTCGATAGAGGGCAATCTCATTTATTTTCAACTTATTTTCAACGTAGGGTTACTAAAGTTGATTAATGTGCTCAAATGAGAAAAATATAAACGACAAAATGGTAGAATACAGTATTGAAAAATATATATTTTTTTTGGGTAGCTAGTCTTTTTTTCGTTAAGAGACCCGTTTGCGAAATATTGAACTTTAAAGTGCTAATTTCCCCCATTAATGTACAATTGTATCCATCTATATGATATCGTATCCACTGTATTTTTCTCGTGGATGTGCTTGTTTATATTTTTTTGAAGTGAAACTTATTTACGCACGCTTGGCTTAAGGGCTTAGAGTATACATTAAACTAATGTATACTCTAAGCTTGGGGGTAAGCTGGCGAATGCGTTACGAAAAGTGTATTCGGACGAGGCGAACAGGAGTTGAGTGGGGGATATAAGCCAGAGAAAGTAGTGCGCGCACACATTTTCTTTCTCTCTTCCTCTTAAAGCTAGTAAATGAAATATGTACATACATGTATTTATTGTACACACACACACACACACATTTAAATATATATATGTATACATACAGATGGAACTAAAAAAGTTCACTTCTGTCGTGTGGCTATAAGCACACTCGTTTTTCTTTTCTTACAGACGCTAAACGCTAAATACAGTAATAGTGTACTATCATCACAAATGCAGGTTATATCAAAAGATAAATGTAAAGAAGCTTACAAAAATAATCTGATTTCGGCATCAAATTTTTGTGCACAATATCAATACGTAAGTAAGCACAGCAATTTTTAGCAATTTACCCAGGTTGTTTTTTCGTTCACGTGTCGTAAGCATAGATAAACTTTTTTTTAATAAATATTTCTTCAAATGTCTACTAAAGGACAGTGTAATTTTAAAATACGGATTTGGTGATGATAACTGGGTATTGTTGGTAATGAGACCAAGACATGATATTGTCATGTCATGGTATCATTTCCGGACGACAAGAAACCCGAATTAACTACTCCGTAACTGTATCATAAAAGACAATATGTCAAAACTTTGTCGACGTCTACTAAAACTGAAAGAACACGTTTCCACACAAGCAGAGCTACGTGAAGATCAGCTGAGCGGAAGTGTGTAAAGAGTTGAAATTTCCCATTAAAAACTGCGCGAAAATTAGTAGTACAGAGCTAAGCTGTATATATCAGGCTGAAGCTGCCCCGAGCGCAGCTATGAAGTTGAGATGAACGGAGTGGAGCAAAGTGAAAATGAGCTGAACGGGCCTGTGAATACATTTCATTTACAATAAGAAAGCTCTGCTTCACCCCGCCCGACACCGTTCCATCTTGCACAGCTAAATGGGCTCAAAAAAACTGAAACCGCCTTGCGCATCATGCGCTTGCATACCGCTGCCGCTGTGCCTTGTTCGGTATGACAACGCTGCGTTCTGGCCAGTCAACTCCGCGAGCTATACAATATAATATAATCCTTCTCAACTCCGCTAATCCGCTAATGTGTTCCCTCCTTCCTCAAAATCTGAAAAAAGCGTGAAGAAGCATTTCTGCAAGCTCGCGAGGGAGGATGATTAGTATAGCAGTTCGTAAGTGCTGCACCAGCTATCTTCTTGTCTGGACTTTACCACCACTTAGCATCAGGTGGGGTAGAGTCAGTCGCCTACTTTACTATAAAAAAAATTAGGTAAGTAAATACTATTTCGACTAAAACGGAGCGAAGATGAGATGTGTATTTTAAGCAATAAAATTGGTCAGTTTTTCTAACCCTCTGCTCAGATCTGCTTCTATGGAAACGCACCCTTGTCTTTCTTTGACTGCTTCTCTAATCTCTTTTTGTTATTTGATATTTGGGAAAAACGTCAACTTTAAATCACATAGGAACTCGCTTCAGCTTTCAAAGAGATTGCGAAGGAAATATGTAACTTTTAGACAAACAGCCTTTAGGTGTACTTCCGTCCATTCCATGTGAGAATAAAAATTAAAGAGATGAGTGTGTAACAGAGTGAGTCGCATTTTGGATTTAATACCATTCATCGTTTTATTTCAGGAGCGTCGATTGTTTGACAACGGCGGAGGAGCCGTCTGTAATGATGAACTGGTTGGAGTGGTTTCCTTCGGTGCGGCTAACAAAAAGCAACCATATGTCGCTGTCCTTACCAACATTTCGTATTACCGAGAGTAAATATTTGATTTTTACTTACTCCTTATCTAATATTATATTGCAAAACTCCATATATTTCACTTAAGTACCTACCTATAGAGTCCAGCAAAGTTGTCGTCTGAAAGTACGGGGTAGTTTGCATTATATCAGGTAGTTCGGATTTTTGCAAACTTGTTTAATGCTGTTGGCCCAGTGAATAATTCAAGTTTGTGACCTCAAGCACCGAACGCTGTCGAATGTTGAAAATCTAAAGAACCACGAAAATTATGGCATTTTTTTATTTTGGCGATTATCTCCCTTAGTCTTGGTCTTAGTAGTCCGGCGAGCTGTTTCTTTAATTAAATATCACCCTTAAGGACTAGTGTTTGATAGTATCTTCGTAAAATATTTTTAAAGTAGACTAGATTTTTTAAAATATGAGACTATAAGGCGTTGAACACACGACGGGGCGGGGCGGGCATTTTGTCCGCAAAGCAATAAAGACCGCGTCTGCCCGTCGATGTCTGCGGCTGCCCGCGCCGCGTACACAAAGCACACGACGGGCAGAGGCGGTCAGTTTAGGACGTTCGTTCTAGTGAATAGTCCAGCACTAATAAGCGCGTGGCGCGGACTGAGCTGACCGCTCCGCGCCGCCCATGGGCGTAGCTAGGTACGGGCAGGGGGGGGCAGCTGCCCCCCCCTAGATCGAGGAGCTTCAGAACCAAAAATTAAATAATAAATAATCCAAAAACCAAAAAGTTATAGAATCGCACATCACTCTCATTAGTCTCGTTACTAAAGCTCTAATTTCGATAGGACTACTCGTAAACAGTGAAGTGATTTCGTACGTACCTACGTTAAGCATTTCTTGGACGTAAAATGATGGATATAAGGATTTTTTTAAAGTGTGCAGTCTGTATAATGTTACTGTGTGTACAACTAACAAGTATTAAGGTATTCTTAAAAATATAATTTTGCCGGTCCATCTGTCGTAGCCACACATTGCCGGGCAACTATGGCCCGTTCAGAACACAGGTTTAGAAGCATCATAAAAATAAGTTATTTGAAAAAGATTGTCCTAAAAAGATCATAAAATGATATCTATTCTCATTAATTGTATGTGAGACGAAATTCTTAACAATCCATGGTTTCACCGTGCGGGTGCCAAATCCATCGTGTGGCAGAGAGATAAACTCTGAGCAGTTCCCGGGCCTTGCCATCCGGGTGTAGGTTTAAGGAGGCCCCCTTTGAGATACGCATCAACGCTCACCTTCACTGCTTGAGTTGCCCGCCCTTCCTAGCCAAACTTGATAGGAGTCTGTTAGTGCAGCCTTAGTTACTCGTTCCAAAATAAACTAAACTTACTGCAATTCTCGATAGGCCGAGGTCTTTTAGGTTATAGAAAGATTTTGCTGGTATACCTCTCGCTCCTACTTCTACCGCGTGTAAATTAACTAAATAGCCATTTTTGGTTACTTCGTTGGTAAGATCGTAATATTTATTCAATGTTATTGTGAGGTATTTTGGAAAGTTAGTATGATACAGTAAGCTCTATTAGTACATTACTTGTATACTATGTTTGATGTGCCTAAAAAAGGGGAATACGTCCGGCCTGGATGACGAAACACCAATATCATCTGGTACATTGTAGTGATTTTCATACGTATCTTTTAAAATAGTCTAGTCAGGTTCATTATCTAGGATTGAAAAAGGCTTGCTTTTCGAGTTAACAGTTGAGCCTTCCTTTAGAAAGTTAATTTGTTTTTTATTTGTGGTTAATCCTTTTTGGGCAAATAAGCATTGTATTTTCTTTGTGCAAGTTACAAAATAAACTTAGCGGACACGATTAGCACAATAAAAGATGTCATCAACTTTTTCGAGAATCTTCTCTACGGAATATTTGGCACGTACTTTACGTGCCAAATATTCCAGCTCTTTGTGAGACACGCTGGTCACAAAAAAACATAAGTATTGCTATTTTAACGATCATTTTGAGGACATTCTCAATGGGCTTTTGGCAATTTCTAGAGAATCGATCTTCATCCTGTATTTGGATTCCCTTATATCCGCACTGGAACATCGTTTCTTTGATAAACATATGTTAATCAAAGAAACGATGTTCCAGTAGGTATATGCCTGCCTTGGGATTGATGATGTTGCATCCTGATGCGATATTGAAAATTTCATTGGCTGAATTCAAACAGAAAACACAAAGTTACTATGGGTTAGAATCCTTTGATAATAACGCCGAACTGTGATATAAACGATGGAAAGATATGCCAAGAGAACACCTAAGAGAGCTGAACTTTGTGGAGTTGTTAGAGAAGGAGGAAACATTCTTCCTCCAACCAGAAAACCTATACTAATTTCTTTTCTCACCGTCTTGCACCACGAGGTACTTCTCTACACTGCGGTGTAGTCAAAACGCGGTTGAGGTCGACGATGCTCGATCTTGATCTCTTAACATACATAGGACACATAAATGGTCTGTGTATGTTAAGTGTCCAGCGAAAGATGGTACAAGAAAATTTAATTTTTGTAGCGAACATATTAGTTTCACTTGCCTGCCCCCCCCTAAACTAAATCCTGGCTACGCCCTTGGCGCCGCCGTTATCGTTACTGCATATAAACTGGTTTGTATGATCCACGGCGGGCAGCCGCGGACATGCCGCGCCGCCACTGCCCGCCGGGCACCTGCGGCGCAGTCTTTTTGCTCTCTGTGTGCGTTTGAAGTATAGGATTCACTTTGTGCTATTATTCGCGGCGAAATTGACCGGCCCGCCTCTCCCCGTCGTCTGCAAAGTGCCTAATTGTATCGGTAGTCACAATAATTTCTGAAATAAAGCCTTTCAAACTTTTCCTCTTTTTATTCAGTTAAAATCAAGTTTGATTAATGTCTTCACCCATCTTCTTAGCCACTCTTTAGGTACTACTTGGGCACAGGTCTCTAGGTACTACATGGGCATTTTTCTTAGTTTTAAGTATTTTTGTCGCAGTAACGCATATCTTGGTTGCTCACCCCACTGCCTTATACGAATCAAGTTTTCTGGCGACATGGTAAGCCTTTTATTTATTGCACTCATGTGGTTTCGTCCTGAAATATCTAAAATTGGAGCTAACTCGAAAGTAAGATGTAATTTTCAAAATTCTATTATCTATAGGATGGTAGAGCGGCAAACATATGTAGTGGGATGAGAAAGGCCTCCGAGGAAATCCTTATTTTGCACACTACATATTTATGTTGTCTTAGTTAGGTCTTGCCCAGGCGAGCACCGCAAGCTTTGATTATTTACACGTCTAGATACCGACTTAACTGCACGGAAGCGCCCCAAAAATATCTGGATAATAGATGGTAGATGGTGGCATCGTCGCTAAGTCGCTACTATTATTTGAAAGCAGTCAATGTGTGCGTGACACATTAACTGCTTTCAAGTAATAAGCTGACATTAGAGCCACGCACACATTGCTCGTTACATAAGTCGTTTTCTTTGCGTGGTTTATTTGGATTGCTCTATCTAAAAGTGTATATAAATCAAAGGCTTCAAGTGAAGGAAAAACTAAGTGAGGTTTTATTTTTAATATCTCCAGTTTTAGTGATTAAAATCAACTCAATATTTTTTATTACAGGTGGATAGAACTCAACAGTCAAAGGTTTCTAAAAAAATATTGCCACTTGTACGAGAGAAATAATTTTGCTAACGCGGAATATATTGTGGATGACGACGCACATTCCGGAACAAGTTTACTTTATTAAATTTTTTTATTCGCAAAAGGTTTTTACGAATAATTTAATATTCTTCTGGATCCAATTCCTAAAGTACCAGACGTTGGAGTAGACGCTCGGCTTGTCTTTCTTAGCGCAGCCGTCCCCGTGTGAAGTGACACCAACCACCAGGCTATAAAATTATAAATATATGTACTCATAAACTGATCATAATAAAATAAAATTGCACTAAGTAGCTGCTTCAAATAGAAAAAATCGAAATGCAAAACAAAAATGTTAGGCATGGCATGATTTAAGACTACATCTGATTTTATTGGATACTTTATTTCTGAGATTTAAGCTTGGAATTTATATATCTTAAGGTATATAGATATAATGGTAAATATAAGGTAAAGCTATACCAATAGGATTTCGCACCCAAATTACTAAGCCACCGCTGTCTGTCTATCAGTTCACCCATGGGTCCGTTTGTCTGTCAAGGGTTTACCTCGTTTATTGTAAAATATATTTACATATTCTGTTAAATTTATGTATTTCATATTGCTGCTACAATGGAAAGGAACTCTTCGTATGCCAATCCATCTCAAACTTAGCGTGTATTTTATAGAGGGTGTAGCAATTATATCAATCCACTTGATATTAAGTGTAAGTGGAGTTCAATGGCGAACACAAGTGATCTCAAAGAGGTACGGCACGCACCAAACAACTCTTGTTACATTTTGCCGCTTTCCCTGACCCCGAAGAACTCCGAAGTGGCAACTTCCTTAGGAATACTATCGGTACTACAGTAAAGTGTTACGGAGAACAGCCTCTAACCGTAAATTTGAAGATATTATTCTCCTACGAGCAAGAATACCATGTCTAACTTAGCTAAGTTAGACCACATTGATGCACGATTAAATTTTATTGATGCCAAGATTTCTTTTCTTATTTCATAAGTTCGTGCATCATTTGACACCGGTTAGCTCAACGGTAGTTGGTTCAAATACCAGTCGGTACATTTTTTGCATATTTAATTCATTTCAGCTTTATTAAGCAGCTATAGTTTTACACCCACCATACCATCATGAGTATATCATATGGTGAATCTTTATGCTTAGTTTATGGTTGAATAATTTGTTGTGAATTGTCCGGAAATTATTATTATTCTTTTCCCATACCTGCGCGATGAAGCTTGGTAGTAAATGCTCTAAAATTAATACTAATTAAAACTATTGTAATTAATTATTGAGCTGCGTGTCTACCATATGAGTAGTAAATATAGACCAGACATAAATACGTAGAGTCTACAGATGCTAGACAATAGCTTAACTGGTGATTTTTGACGTGATTACAAGAGATTGTGGAAGATGATGAATTTATAAGGGCAGCATAAGTGAAGGAGCGTAAATTACGGAATTGAGCCGTCAGGTAGGGTTTTTAAAAACTATACTTTTAATTATTAATTAATTTATTTGAATGTTTTACAAAAAAACTTATATTAATTGATCACGATAATCAGGTCTTACAACTTGTTCATCATTTGTAACCAAACACTGTTTTGGTCAAAAATTCTTTAAATTTTTAGGACCCTTTCTTTATAATAAAGTAAATTAAATAAAATCAATTTATCATCTCCCTTTCTACTGTGTCAAGTATTCAACAGTTGAATGGCTTTAAACTTTAAGTTATAACGATACTGAATTATTTTTGAAGACGATGTAGATTTACTGTTTTTGATTCCATTTCTGCTAATAAATATATTAATTTTACACAACCTCTCCACACACACACTCATATTCACTATACTCACCATGAGAGGTTTCACTCGCTACACTTAACACTTATTATTTTGTTACTTCTCTGGAAAATATGTCTGTATGCGTTCAGAATACAAAAGAGCTTGTATTTTTTATAAAAAGCGCTGTACCTGAGATACAGGTCTACTAGTTCAGGTCCAGATGTATTTTTACCCTGTTGGTTGATTGTTTTATTATTGTAAGATTCTATAAAATTTTGTGTACATAAATTTTTTTTGCCAATAAATTATTATTATTATTAACTATACGTCAAGATGCTTTCACGATTGAAGCTCAAGAGAGCCCCAAAACTGTCCGAAGGTTTTACATTAACTAAATCTGTCTAATAAGCACTTATGAACGCATGACGTATGAGTGACGTAGACGAGTTTTGTACTCGTAACACGTACATAATTCAAATTTCGAACTTTTACCGCATTTTAGTACCAAAGTTTCGTCGCACAGGTATAGGAGAATCATTATTAACATTATTTTATACTAAGCTCTTACTCGTTCCATAAAATTCCGCCACCCGAGTCACCTTTGCAAGTGTCTGTGACTCCTTCCCCGTACAGGCAGAACATGTCCGCTGTCATGTTGACCTTGTGCAGTCTGCTACACCTCTTCGACGGCACGAACCTCAAATTTGTCATCATCAAACCCTTCTCTGACACCGGCCCACCGTACTGAAAATCTGGCAATTTGCTACAGTCCGTTTTAATTATGATTCATTGCTGAACAAGGAAACCCGAATGACTATTCGCATTTCTTAATTTATCATTACTTTTCATTTTTGGTCTAAAGACGAAAAGAAACCTGTGGCCGGACTCTAAGCAAAATTAATTCATCAAATTTCAGTAAATTTCTACATTTTGTTAAATTCTATTTTTATTTCGCCCTTCAAAGCTAAGTTAGAGTAGGATGAGCCTTTAAATGGCTTGACGATGACCCCATAATAATCCTTAGTATCCCATAACACAATTTCAGTGCTTACATTGGGAGTAGGCTAAATGGTGTTTTAGGCATAAAAAAAAATATTTGAAATACAAGCATTTATACCTCTACTTGACCCCATCCTGTAGCTTTAAAATGTCTCTCGGCAGTATTCATCCACTTTCCATTATTTACAAGAACTGCTTTCTTGGTTTTGTTACCGAATTTAATGGGCGAACTCAGAAACAGCAAAGCTATATCACATGCAAAGAGTGTCGCTTTGTTGTAATCTTCGTGTATGACAAACGACAATACGTCATGTACTCTAGCTTGACGATCGTAAAGAAATCTGGCACCTGCAAAACAGACATGTTTGATTAGGGAATTGAGTTATGGTTCAACGTTAATAAGGGTCTCAGTTAGGACGGTGCTTTGAGAGCTTGTGTTTTCGGGAAATGGACTTGTAAAAATAGCCATGATGATGACAACCATAATGCCAACATACAATAGAAAACGGAACTAGGAGATGCAGAATATTAGCAACCCCTTCACAAATAATAAAAGAAAAAGGTTCTGTCTATTAACTCAATCCCGTAAAAACGACTTTGTATTCATATTTGTTTCTTAGGTTTTTACGCACACCACTCATCAAATTTAACAAATTTTAACAGTATAGATGCACTGAAAACTTAATCATAATTCAGACGACAATGAATAAATATATCAGTGCATCTATACGTTGAAACTTGTTGTATTTAATGTTAGACTTTGGATTCAATATAATGCATATTTTACCTTTATTACGACATATAATACTTTTTTATCTCGAACTTTAGTACAGTCAATCTGTCGAAAAAAATATCGTTTCAGTGAAAAAAAAACCTAAAGGGTAAGTCTTGTTTTTTCTGTTGCCAAATGACGTCAGTAAGCCACCTTGTCGATGGGCATGTTCAACTCGTAGGCGTTTTTTGAAAAACTCAAAAAAAACCTCAAAAAATTTTTGGAACGCATTTTTCTTGTTTTGTTTGGATTTTAGAACCTTTTTTTAAACCATAATTGTAGAGGGCGTTGAGTACTACAATTTATGTCATTGTTGCAATCTCGTACAACAAAAAAGGAGCATTGTAGGTGGCGCTAAAGTCTCAAAAAAAGTGTTTTTTCACTTTTTCACCCTGAAAATATCATTTTAATGGAAAACTTTAAAGGGTAAAGTTAGTCCGTACATAATTTTTTTCATGATTGAAAAAATAAAAATAGTAAAACGTACATTGAAATATGCACTGAACTGCCCAAAACTGCTTTATTGGATTTTTCATACCTGCGCAATTTATAACTTAAAACGGTAAGTAATACAAAAAAATTGTTTATACAAAAGTTGTTGGTAATTATGTACGGACTTACTTTTCCATTTAAAGTTTTCCATTAAAATGATATTTTCAGGGTGAAAAAGTGAAAAAACACTTTTTTTGAGACTTTAGCGCCACCTACAATGCGCATTTTTTTGAGTTTTCAAAAAACGCCTACGAGTTGAACATGCCCATCGCCAAGGAGGCTTAGTGACGTCATTTGGCAACAGAAAAAACAAGGCTTACCCTTTAGGTTTTTTTTTCACCACTCAACCTACAGATTGACTGTACTACTTGGCTTTGGGAATATCATAAACGAACGAAATGTTTGAGTTTTAATAAAGGGTCTGATAGTATAAGTTTCAATTTAATTTTGTTCGAATTATTGATCAAATATTTTTTTTATAAGTTTGAAAGTAGTTTAGCGATCGTTGTCTTAAAATTAATTAAAACTGGAAGTGCCAAATTGCGCGAAAAAAGTATGGCCGACTGAATCATGGCGGGGCAGTGAGAGTGGACAGGGAGGATTCTGCTGATAAACGTTGAAGTGTTCGCATGTGTCGTCTCTAATTATAAGAACTGCTTATTTGGAGTTGAATCTGAATCCAAAGGACTACATCGAAACGTTGATCAAAACAGCTTCACGCAAACTCGGAGTCCTGAACAAGGTGCGGCGTTTTTTCACGCCCGATCAACTGTGCTTGTTGTACAAAACACAAGTGCGGTCCTGCGTGGAATATTGCTCGCACCTCTGGGATGGCTCCGCAAAGTACTTACTCGATGCCTTGGATAGGTTGCAGCGGCGCGCTGCCCGCATCATTGGCGATGAAGAGGCAACTAAGAAACTCGAGTCTCTACAATTACGCCGTGATGTGGCATCATTAAGCGCATTCTACCGAATATACCACGGCGAGTGTTCTGAGGAGCTATTCTTGCTTATCCCTCCATCACCTTTTCTTCAGAGGACCACGCGCGCTGGCCTACGTTGCCATCGACTTACTGTGGCCACTATTCCTACACGAACAAAGAAATTTGGCGACTCATTTCTTTGTCGTACTATTCGTAAGTGGAATTCTTTACCCGCGCACGTGTTCCCTCCTTCCTATAATCTGGGGTCCTTTAAGAGAGGCGTGAAGAAGCATTTTTGCGGGCCGGCAAGGTGAGGATGGTTGGTGTAGCAGTTAATAACTGCTGTACCAGCTATCTTCGCGTTTGGACTTTATCACCACTTAACATCAGGTGGGGTAGAGTCATTTGCCTACCTAGTAATATATAAAAAAAAAAAAAAAAAGAATAACTAAGTTATTAGTTTCACAAGGAGTTTCCTTACAATAATAAGTAAAATTGAAAATAATGCCCACCTTCTCCTTTTTAAGTCGGTTAAAAATCTCACTTACCAACTTGCACAACCATATCATTCATTTCGGTGTTAACATCAAAGCAATGGGCTGCCGTCAGAACGCTGTAACTATTCAAAATACTACCAGCACATAAGTTTCCAGCGTTGAAGAACTGTACAGCACTAGGAAAACGATCCCTTGTTACATGTGTACCCCCTACTATTTTACTCTCAAAATGTTTATTACTTTTAATTTCCTTTTTTGAGAAACATTCACATAATGGAATTAATACTATTAGCAAACAAGCAGATGGTAGCATAATAGCTGGTACGGTAATCGTGAACTGAATAGTTAATTAATACAAGGAACTTTCATCATACTTCTCAAATTAATCAGAACGAAAGGCAATATTAAAGTTTAATGTACCTGATTAGGATTTGAGCATATATGAAAGATTTAATTTTCTTCGAATGAGTGGCAAATCAAGAGTTTAAAAAACCCATTGTAATTATGAATACGAAAATAACTTTTCTTTTAATAAAATTTTAAATTTTCCTAAGCAGAAAATGCGCCTTTCTTAAATTTTCCAAAATTTATGTGTTCGCTTCTAAAAAGTATAAATTTCCAAACAAATAAAAACAAATTATATAAATGGTGAATTTATATAATTGACTGTTCAGGAGCTAATAACAATACTCAAGCTTTGTAAATCGGGGTTAGAAATGGAATAAAGACTCAGTTGAGAAATAAATATTTAAATAAGAAGAAAAACACTACCACAGGAAAACTACGTAATGATTCCAGAATGTAGTGGATGTTTCAGTATCAACGCAACGACTTATGGAAGGGCCACCCCAGTGCCTTCAAACTTTGCTTTGATATGTTATGTAAATAATTTGCTATGCACCTTGCATAACACATAAATATAAACACCACATAATCACGCACTATATTTGCTCATTTTTTTCTTTTATTCTCATCAACTATCCAAACTATTGAACATGAACTCGAATCAGTGTTTCAAAATAAATACAAATATAACTTTTATATTCGCTTTCACCATTTTTTTTTATTTTCATCAATAACCGTCTATGTTGTCTTTCAATGCCGCACTTAATTGGTTACTTGTCTTTTCTATGAACGGAATAAGCTGATAAGGAATGGCTCATTCATTTCTGCTGACATCTAAAGACAATATTATATTCGGGCAACAATTAAATCATAACAATAAACCATAAACCTATTTAAGCGATAATGTAGAACTCAAATCAAACATGAAAATTGTGTTTTTATAAGTACGAAATAATGTAAATAATAGGTTGGGGAAAAAGCCTTATCGCATGATAGTATGTATGAACTTGTAATAAAATCTCTTTGGCTATACCATATGTATCTGGCTGGTTTTGGTATCATTAAAAAGTTTAGATTTTTAAGAAGATAATTTCAAATTCAATATAATGAATATATTCGATACATTTTAAAATTTTAGGTAGTAAAATGGTAGGTAAATTGTCAGTTGAAAGAAAAGTTGATCACGCACCTTGTAAAAGTAAGTTATTAATACGCTCGTCTTAACTTAGCGTAATTTACAAACATAACACTCGTTCATTAATAAATCACTGCGCTCGATGGAACAATTCACTGTTTTCTGACAAAAGAAGCAAACAAAGCTATAAGCAATATTCTATGAAAGAAATCCGTTTACCTTCATATTTTGTCAGAGAAAGAAAAACCTCTTGATAAATATAAAAATAAAACTATTACTGAAATTTTGATGACAATAATTTAAATGAGCTATTAATTTGTAATGTTAATGAATTCATGAAATTCGTACATCGAAATTGTACTATCGAACAAATTGATTTCTTAAAAATGTCAAACCAGAGAGTTTTCTTCTATATAAAATGCGTAATTGCACAATACCTTCTAGTAACAAGGTAACTTCATGAATGTGTTTGTTTGCAATGTAATAGATGATCATTATTATGAAATTAAAATTGTAGGTACTTAGTTTGAATTTCGAAAAATCGTAAATAACACAGAAACTCTTTCGTTTTCTTGACATTAAGAAAAACTTTGGTTAACTTATAGAGAAATCCTATGTCTATAAGAAAATCTCCAATTATTTTAACATGAGTTTAACGTCAACAATATCAATAATGATTGTTCTCAAAACAACAAATTTGTTTCTAGGGATACGTACATTTAAGCGCAAGTCTACCTTATGGTTTTGCAATGGCTGTAAGAAAAGCTGGTGGGCTAGGAATCATATTTGCTGATAGTACATCCGTCAGTATTATAATGAGTGTAAACATTCACGGCTGACTTGTGACTTGCTTTTTTACTGGGGACTCCAAACGGAACGTTATCGAAAGTGAATCTTGCCGTCTCACTTCCTGTGGGAATATCTACATATATAAGAAAGAGAGGGGAGTGTTACTGCAGAAATACAGAGCGGCCTAGCTGACTGAAGGGCTGCCCGCTTTGCGCATTCAGTTGATTTCAGTCGGTCGCAGGTAGCGCCACGCTCGGCTTTCAAATGCACTAAACATAACCTAACATGCTTTAAAACATTACTAAAACAAAACAAACCATTTTTCTTCGACAACAATAAATAAGAGCAACAAGGAAAATTGAAGTGTAATGTAAATAATATACAGTATTACTACTTCAACAAGTGCTACAATGTTTTCATTCAGCTGAAAAAATAAAATTTTACCATAAAATCTTATAATAAAAAGGTGTACAGTTTTATTGTTTGTGATCAAGAAAGTTCTGGATTTAATTTAAAATTAACGTATAATGGATTTATCTTGCTAAAGGTAAGTGTAAAAATAACAATTTTAAAAATTGTAAACAAAGAATATATAGCTAAATTACTAAGTTATCGTATTAAATAATCATAATCAAACAAATAATAAATTGCTTTTAAACCAGTTAGATGAGAATGCAGTACAGCTTATGGACTGCATTACTTAAAATACAGTTTGTGAGAAGCAGGGGCATAAACACGATAACGCTTTATTATTTTTTAAATAGTATCTGAATAATGTTTACAAGTTTCTTGACTCGCATCTATTCTCTATATCTGTTTTGAACATCAGTGTCGTTACTTTATTATTAGATTGGCTATATTTAGTATTTCTTCCTTGGCCTAGTGTCGATGCGACATTCGCATCGCGGAAACTAGCAGGCGCTAAACAACATTGAATAACTGATTAGCTTTTATTTATTCTGTCAATGTTCGCACAGCACGTGACAAATAGTTTATATGAGAATTTACAGGGCATATTTAGCGGAACTGTTCCTAACAACTTTATTAAATGTCAGGAATTTCGAATTTTTTCTTCTTCGACGGTATAAAGTATTTTGTTAAGGTTTATGTCTACGACAAGTTAAAGCAAATGTAATCGTGTTAATTTTTTTTTGAAAGAACATTAAACAACTATTATACAACACCTCGTAATACACTTATCGATCTTATCGATAGATTTTGGATGAATACGTTTAATTTGATTGATTAGCCACATTTTTAAATCACGTACAAAACTTAACTAGATATATTGAACTCTGTCAAGGTATCATTTATTATATGGCACCACTTTTATTTTAGTATATTGTGCTGCAAAGCTAAGCTCCATGACTTTGCATTCAGCTATTGAAGCTTAACAAGAAAACATTAACTAAGTTGAATTTATTACAAATAAAGCGCGGCTTACTTTTAAAAAATAAAACCGTTTAAAAAAATACCTCAGTCCAACTATAAACCATAGTTGGGTTGATATATTAAATTCTTGCACACATGCCATCTTTACGTTTTATTGTTTTCTCGAACGTAATGATGGTTGTTTCGAAGTAAATACATATTACCTGCTAAACAATAGTCATTATTAGCAGCTCTTACTATACAAACTCTCCGCTTTGCTTTAACTATGTACTTACATTTTAAATGAACCGATCGTGCTGCTAAATGCTTGTTCTAAGTATTAGCTACCGACCGTACTGCAGTCAAATTAGCTTGACGACGGTTATTGCCATTTCACATTTACAAACCTTTATTGCGTAGAAAATAAGAAAGAATTTATGTGAGAACATTAACTCTCATGTATTATAGAAAGATTGTCAGTAATTAATCTAGTCTTGAGCATAGTTACAAAGGAATATCGCTACATATATAGCACATAGCGACATCCTTTTCTAACTGTACTCAAGTAAAGATCAACATTTAGTTGTCATACTGTAATACGAGCCTTAGAAGGTACAAAACGGTGGTATATCGTACTGTACAAAAATAGTAAGGTTTGCACTCATTTGTTTTGAAGCGGCCGCACGCGACTTCGTCCGCGTTATCTTCAGGTTTTTGAGAATCCCACAGGAACCTAACATTTTTCGTGGGTAAGATGTCTCTTTTCAGATTATAAGCTATCTGGAGTCCGGAAACGGACAATCACCTTGCGGTCAGTTGGAAATCGGGTGTCGCAACATCACCTGCACTCTCAAGAGTATTGTCTGTTTTTTTTCTCTTTATTTGTGGCTACAAACAGTCATACATTTTAATATAATTGTTCTGTGGTTACAGTGAAATTATAAGAGACGACCTACAGTGCCAGCAATTTAACTTGTTAGTTACAGAAAAACATGATAGAACAAGTATTGTACTTAAAAAAAATACATAAGAACACAAAACATATAAACATGCAAAAATATTGTAATTTAAATGTTGTCTTTTAATTTTAGTTTAAGAAATTTCTTTATATAACTATGTGAAATATTAAATATATCAATGTTATTGAAGTTATTATTATAATTGTTGGTGGAACGATTTTGTCGTGTAGCGACAAAATAAAATAAAAAAACCAGGAAGAGGTTACAAAAGAAAAAAATAGGGGTATTGTGTGAGTGTGTGAAGTGTGGGATGTGAAGTGGGCGTGGGTCGTCGGCGAATTTCAGGACAAGTATCTTAGTGTTTTATAATGAAGTAGTAGTGGATCAGTAAAAAGCTCAGTGATCATCTCTTCCCTCTGACAAAAATTGTTAACGAATACGCCTACTGATGCTAAACGAAAACCGTCACCCGTGAACTTTGGATGTCCACGGATCACAAAAATAAAATTTTATGACAATTCTTGTTAACTGTTTAGATTTCATGAATTTCACACAATATTTTTAGTGTTTGTCTGTAACAAATTATGTATATAAAACAAGTAGTATTTATATTATGTCTAGTTGTTATTTTGTGAAGGGATTCCTTAAAAGGTTCCTAATATCAATAACTTCTGCCGTACAATAGTATCAATATTGTTAAATCATGCTAAGAGACTAAAATTTCCATTACGACCTGGATAAAGTTCAAATGCGTACAAGGTAAGTAGTAAATGTACTCCAGTTGGTTATATTAAATTTTCTGAGTGCCTAGATACTTACTAAGTTACCATTAATCAAGAGAGATTAATGCTCTGCCAGTTTAATTACTTAGTAATATCGTAGTGCTGGTCTGAACACGTGTGCCTGTTATTGACCGTTCCCAATAA